TCTTGCCAGGAAAACTGCAGGGACTAGTCCCAGCAGTCAGCAGGAGTCAAAACCTGACTCAAAGGCACCCAGAGGGGAAAAAAAAGACAACTCTGGGAAAGGTGGAAATATAAGAAAGAGACTCAAAAAACCCCACCTTGATTCTGTATGGTATAAGAGGGGGGCCGAAAAAAACTCTGTTAGGCTTTCAAGATTCTGTTATTGTACAAAATTGTATTGTATTGTATTCTCTTATTGAGTCGAGTTCCAGTAGACCTTGTGGTGTCTGACTACCCTAAATCAAAGAGTCGATAGGAAAACACTGGTGATCAGAACACATTCATAACACTAAGCAACAAAAGAAAAAATGCAAATATGTATAACACCATTACATAAAAGCAACAAAAACTTCTTGATAAGCATAGCCATTTTAAAAAGGGAACAATCGGGGCAGAGAGCCTGGAAATTATGTTATAAATGAAGCAACTCCAAAAGGTTGACCATATTGTTTGAAATTCTTCTTGTCCTGTGGTCCATAAAGACTAATTAAATCCATCTTTCTCAACAGAAGAATTGTTTTCTAAAAACAGTCTTTAAGTAGCGACTGTCTTTCTGCATGCATACTACAGAATAGTATAGGACTTTTGAATAGGTCATTTGAATATTTATTGTAATTTTTATACTCTAATCTAAACCTATTTCTATACTAACTTATAAATGTAATGTCTTTCCATCAGGAGTTAAGTATGTTTTAACATACACCCTAATATTTCCTCTTCATTATTCTCTTTGTTTTCTATTTTTTAATTAAAAAATTGAGAAGAAGAGTCTAAACAAAGAGATAAAACATGTAAAAAGTATAAAAGAATAAAATGCAAATAGTAACATGTAAATAAATAAGGAATCTAGAGTTTCATGAAGATTACAGTTTTCTAGTATATCATTAATTACTTATGAATTATAAACTACATCACTTTACAAAACTAGGAATTACTCTTAAGAGTACATAGCCAGGACCATGGTAAATACAATATAAATCACAGACTGAAATTATAGGCTATAATACATTGAATCAATTCTGAAAAACTCTTCATTTTTCTTATACTGCTTTAGCTGAGGGAGGAGGAGATGATTTTCTTCTTGGAACATTAAATGTTCCAACTTCACCCTCATCAGTTTTCCATTATTTATATTATATATTTCCAAAGTCAATTTCCTCCCATAATCTTTTTAAAGTTCTGCTTTGTGAAGACACAATGTGTTGTATCAAATAATCACCACCACCACACCACCACTTATTAAGACTGGGCTTTCTCTTCTGTTGCTTTGTGAATTCTTTCTCTTGGTGAGTTTTTATTTATTGTTCTCTCTTTGTTTTCTTAATAGTTCCTGACTGGCTTGCACCCATAGTTCTAGGTTTGTAATAGGAAAAGAAATAACTATCATATAGAATGTATTAACTAATATAGTATGTTCTGAATTCTTTTATAGCTCCAAGAACATCAAACAGACTTTATCCTGAGCTTCCCAGGGACTCTACTGCAATGGGTGAGTGTTTATAATATTATTAGTTATAATAGTCAATGCAGAGTTATAGAACTCAGGAAATGGTTTGAATAGAAATAAATGAAGGCATCTGTAATATTGGTCCGCTTCTCCACATGTGAACTCAGAAGAGTCCACAGAATTCGATGGTTTTATCAGAACAATGAAATGGAGGTATACAGTACCACGACACTCATACAAAACGGGTGGAGCTTTTGTCACAATATTGCGATGCCTGCTTCATCATTTGTTCTTCCTTGTTCCACCTACAGATGCCCATATATACATTTGTTGCAGCCCACAACTTAAATATGATTTATGATTTTCTTGCAGGCTACAACTTATGGGATACGATATTTGAGGGGGAAATTAAGCTGTTATAAACATATAACTTTTGGTAAGCGGCGCCCTGCACAGACATACATATTGGGTACAGTTATTCAGAATCTCAGCAATTCTGGTCTGCCAGAATAGAACAAGTAGCACAAATAGAACTACCGTCTATGGAATGCTATTTTTTGGTGTTACTTTGCATGAACATGAGATACCCATAATTCAGAGTTCTTCGCAATTCTAATTTAGTGTTCTTATGCTCACCAAAACAACCAAAATATTGGACCCTGGAGTGGCAAGACAGACTAGTATTGTTGAAAAGAAAGTTGTGTAAACTGATCCAAACATATTCCTCTTTCAAGCCTGAACACAGACTGTGTTGCTCACTAATTCCACACAGTCATGAGCTACAAACTGGAGGGGAGGGGGGGAGGTTCAGTGGAAAATAAGTTGGAAAAAGCAGAAAGTCAGTGTTGTGATATAAGTAGAAGAAAGATGTTATGGTATGTTTTCTACTGCTCAGGGCTGTTTCCAGAAGGTGGAGAAATAGAACAAAAGCTATAGAACTTATATTCCCCTTCTACTTTCTACCTAGCATTCCTCCCCTCTGCCACCCCAAAAAGTGAATAGATAGGAACAAATTCTCATTTTACATACTGTATTCTGCTTCATCCTGATTCTAGAAAACTTGCTTAATGAACTCTTTTGGCCAAAGTGGGTTTTGTATTTGGGATTTTTATTCCTGTAAGCTGCCCGGAGTCACTGTGAGTGAGTTGAGTGGCCATATAAACTGCTTAAATAAATAAAATAAAATAAAATAAAATAAAATAAAATAACATCCTTCAAATCCTGGCGCATGCAGTACACTTAAATTCACATTTTGGTTGAAGGACCATATCAAACACTCCTGGTCCCCACATTTCCTGTTATTTCCTCCTCTACTCCACAAGAGTTCGATTCTCAGGACATGGAGCCTGGCTAAAAGAAGCTTAAAGCAACAGGTCTATTTACATGTATGTGAGAGAGAGAGAAATGAAATGAAATGAAATACAAAAAAAATAAGACAATAGTTCTTCCGCTTGTTAATCAACTGGTTGCTAGTGCAGCTACCCTTTGCAAATGTCATCCTTTCCGAGTGAGAAATTTCAGTAGACTGCACGTGTTACGCTTGGATTCTTCCACGCTGTTGTTGCCAGGGCGGCAGCAGCTGACTTAAATGCTAAGTAGAATAGCAAGACTGGCCATAAATTTTGCAGCCTTTTAAGTGCTGCAAAAATTCTTCAGCTCCTTCTGGATGAAACTGCCCTGTTCAGAGCTTGGTAATGTTTGTACATTTTGTGTATTTGCAGCTGGGGGCTTGAATATGAACATTTCCTATTAGATGGTGGGTTTAATTACTTTAGGCAGAGAAAACATAGGCCTGCCTTCTGAACTAGTTTATTTTCTATAGAACTATGTAGAATTACTTCTGTTCTTTGACTTCACTGATTTTAACATTCTGCCCTCGTGAGCATTTATTCCTTTGAGGAGCTTGTAGAAACATTGTGTGTTTATGCTAAAACTTAAATAACTCTAGTTTAGCTTGGCTATTTGTTAGAGTCAGGATACAATAAACAGCTAGGATCTGTTTGTTTAAAACCTGGCAAAGTCACATATAAAGGGATATAATTTTCCATAAAACAGGTTTGTTATCCAAAGACAACACTGAGTAGTAACTATTAGGACTCCTTAGTTGTTGAGTTATTCTCCCAGAAGCCTAGAATATATATATCTAGGTACCTTAATATATGTATACCTAGGTGCTGAGAAAATGCTAGCTCTTAGAGACTCATTAATTTTGTAGTGGTCATCATACTACTCATTTATATGGTACAATAATATACTCACAGATCCTTGTGTGTAATACTCCTGATTTTAGCTCATAGTAATTAGTAGTATTTAGTTCAGTAGTATTTTGCCTTTTTTCAGATCAAATAAGAAATAGCATGCATTGTATTTCTAAGCATAGACACAGTTTATACAAAATAGGGTTACATGGAAGGGCTCCCACACTGCAGTTGTAATATAAGAATGGTCCCAGAAACTTAGTGAGGATGAAGTATGCACTATTGAACCCAGTGAGGTTTATTTAAGAAAGAATGGGCATTACATACCTTGCATGTCATATGTTTAATGAATATGATAGTACATCTATGGGGAAAAAACAATTCTTCAGAGAGATTTTTGTAGAAAACAAGATACTACTACTGGTAGTACTGTAGAACTGCAGTTCTAACACATATAGAAGCAGAAAAGAAGGTCGGCTCTGCTTTTGTAGCTCTATTGAACTGCATCTGAGAACAGCTTTCATAATGTTATTGAACAAGGTATAATGATCATGTTGAACTCTCATAAGAACAGACAGTGTATGTCTCTTTGAAGCAGGTAAAATATTTCTGTTAAACTGTTTCAGGATAATCAGAACTGATGCTCATAAACTTGGTTCCAATATATTTGTAATAGTTTCTAGGGAACAACCTATGGTTGGTTATAAACTATAAGGGTAGCAAGCCAGTTCAAGGTGACTAATGGATATTTATATCTGAGGATCCATAAACAGAAATATAATGTATATAAGGTTATAAACCATGCTGACATGCAACTTCAATAATATAAAACAATGAATCCTTTCCTCTTTAAAGGGATTTAAGACAGCATAATCTATTTTTGTGATTCTCTGGTGGGATTTACAGCTAATTTTCAAGTAAAATAAGCATGCATCTAGTAGCGTCTCTCTTGCAGTTGTTACTAATCTAAATTCTCTTAATGCTGTTCCTGAAGCAGGAAATCACAGGAAATATTTTCTAAAATTATTTTCTAACTGCTCTGCTAGGATAAACATTGCTGCTATCAATTCTGCAATCGTTTTGAATGAAGCATCTTTTTTGACATGTACTGTCTTGAAATGAGCACAAAAAAAAAGTGTAGTGTGGAATTTTGACTGTAGCAAGGAGAAAAAACCTTGAAAATCTCTATTCTTGCTGAGCCAGCTGATTGCAAAGACACATAGCAACTGAGGTCAGTGCATGCTAGGACTAGAAAATTGAGGTCTTTGTTTTATGTGTGCTTTGGGTCAATGCCATTGTGTTAAACTTAATGAATAATAGGCAGGCACTAGAAACATGTACTTTTAGTATTCTTAACTTGGTATTTCTGCAGTTTTTGAAAATGAAAGAAATCCTTAAAGTATGCAACGGTATTTCTACCAATCACTGAAACTATCATGAGAAAACTCTTAAGTTTTCTCCATCCACCAGTACGGTAACTTGAATTTTGAGGTGAGAAATAAAGGTTACAATACTTAAACAGTACAGAGATACAGAAAAGTTAGTGTATAGATGAATGCCAGTTCCAGTGCCCATATGGATCCATTGAATTGTTTGTTGAAGTACCCAAAGCCTGATATGCAAACCTTTAAGACAGTCTTCTTCTACCTGATGTTGGTTGGAGATGGTGGCCATAGTAATTTAACATACCTAAAACCACAAGTTTGGAAAACTAGTTTAAATGTTGCCAAACCTCAGGCAGCTGGTTGTTGTTGGAAGCAGCCTCATCTGTTGTTTATCTATCTGCCTTGTTTATTTCTATTTCACAACTCCAGCTCTAATATTAAAAGTGGAACATGGGGTAGCTGTATTATACCAAGCCAAAACTCATCCACTTGGTTCAACCTTGTCTTCACTGACCAACAATGTTTTTCAAGAACTTCAGACAGGAATCTTTCCCAGCCTTATCTGAAGCTACCACCAATAGTACTTGGGACCATCTCTATAGATATAATGCCTTTTCTCTGAGCTAGAGTGCAAATATTTGAAATAACGGGCTTTGGCAAGATAATTTGGGAGGGAATTAAGTCTCTGACTTGCGTATCTCCTCCGTTAAAATTAACCTGTTTAAATATGTATGTATCTCATTAACTTATAAACAAATGCAGATTGACTACCATTGCCTCTAATTTGGCTTATATCATTGCAGGAATCTTGTCCTAATATAAGCATCTTGTATGTTTTACAAGATGTAGCATGGATTCTTTTGTTTGTTTGTTAAGTGATGTTGCATGTCCAAACGTAGACACTGTGAAAAGAATGCACTACAACAATTATTAATGTATGTTTTAATAATATATCAGTAAAAGCTAGGTAAGTGAATGTTGCTTGTTCTACATGGGTCCCTCTGTGACAGAGCCGTGGAAAAATAAAAGCTCAAAGTAATATCTAGAAATTTCTATAGGTATATATGCATGTGCTCATAGGGAATTTTTATTTTTGCCATATTCTAAAATTAGCATTTAGAATATTAGATTATAGCTTGGATTTTTTTTTTTAAAAAATGACTAGCTGCTGCAAGAACTAAGTTTTTTTTCTTCTTTGTGGAAATTTGTTTCATAATGAGTTACTCTTTCATTGCCACAAGAT